TCCTGTATAAGGAACGCCTATTTACGTGAATAAGGAACGCCTATTTACCTGTATAAGGACAGCATATTTACCTGTATAAGGAACGCCTATTTACCTGTATAAGAAACGTCCATTTACCTGTATAACAATTGCTAGGAGACCGGCTATCATAATCACTGACTGAAATACGTCCGTCCACACAACTGCTTTCATACCACCCTATAATTTTAAAATAAAAGTAATAATTGTGTACGGTTTCTTGTTACATTGGTTCTGTTCTGTTCTGCGACTTTTAAGGTCATATTGCAATTTATGAGACCTCGGGTAAAATTCACCGCACAGATTGCTATAGCTCGAGAGTTTCCTCACATGAAAGAACTCAACATCCTAGGGAATCGAGCCTGCCCGGTAAGCAGTAAAAGATTTAAATGAGGAATCTTTAGCATTTGCTCACTGGAACTTAAGTATGCTTGATTGCTTGATTGACTGATTGATTTTGAAATTTGTTTAAGGATATATTGCGACTGATCTGAAGTAACCCCATTTCCGAATCAACAGCTCATTTTAAACACAATTCACGGTGTCAGGTGACGTCATCTTTTTTCTTTAAAAGAATGAACTATTTTTTGTATGGTCTATCCTTGTTTATTTCTTTTACAGAATGCAATATTTTTTGGATCAGTAGCTAAGAAGTGTCGTAATAGCGAGCTCGAAGAACAGGCTCGCAAAGCGAGCTTTACGGTAACGCGAGTACAAACTAGATACTTATTGATTTGGAAAACTTTCGCCAGAAGTACTGCAAAATTTCATCGCAACTTGCCGAATTACAAGATAACGACAAGAGCCGAGGAAATCTGCTAGACTGGTCTCCTGCTTACTTATATGGAACCATAGTAGGACAGGGAACCAGATTAAGGGAAGCAGTGTATAAATTACCGAATGACAGTTTTAAAACGGAAACTGTAAATTAAAATGAACCATTACTTTATACCATTTCACGGTACTCGTAAAAGTAAATCAAGCCCGCTTTGAGGCTTAATTTTTTCTTATTCATAAGCCTTATTTTTAGTAAACAAGATCACAAATGAAAATAAATAAATAAATAACCAGAAGAAATCAATATGTAATTAATAGCTATTTCATGATGTAGGGATACTGTATTAAACTCACCAGAAACGTGTAGAAAGTTGACACACATCCGACAGTGATTATAGTCGCCCATGTTAGAAATCCTGTTACTATAAATAGAAAATATACTGTTACTATAAATAGAAAGCACACCACTACGCATAGAGAGTTACTCTTTATAAAAACGAAACACAAGGGCAAATTTATGAAATACGTTAATATATAGGTCGACTAGGTTTATGACCGATTTCAGAAAATCACTAATTGTTTAACAAACACACGGTGGCACACAAAGGTGACATTTGTGCGTTTTTATTTATCTCGTGCACACGAGATACTATGTCGTGGCCACGAGATAATTAAGTAGTAGGCACGAGTTACTATGAGGTGCGAACGAGATAATTAAGTCGTGCTTCGGAGTAGGTGGCTTTTCCCAACGGCTTTCTTTTTAGATTGCCATAAGTAATGTTTTTTTTACAGTGCTTTAAGAAAAAAAAAACCAGTTTCACAGATTGTTTGATGATTTGCTGAAACAGTCTTGCCGGACTACCTTTTTCTTTATTCTGCCATTACACAAAATTTAATTCAAATTGTAATGTCAAAAAAGAGGAAAATGTATGTTATAAACAGACAATTTAAGTTACTTTTCTATAGATACAGGATTTATTTTTAAATTGTGGTATGATAATTATCATACTATTATCATATTATGAAATATTTATTTTCATACAACCCATTTTATCTCATTAATATTTATCAATATTTCATTTATAAGAATATAATAAAATATATAAGCCGCGTCACGACAAAACCAACGTAATACGTTTGCGACCAGCATGGATCCAGACCAGCCTGCGCATCCGCGCAGTCTGATCAGGGTCCATGCTGTTCGCCATCCGTTTCTTATTTTGTAATAGGGTTTGTAAACGAACAGCATAGATCCTGATCAGACTGCGCGGATGCGCAGGCTGGTCTGGATCCATGCTGGTCGCAAACGCACTATGTTGGTTTTGTCATGGTGCGGCTCATATATTAGTAACTAGAATATATACAATACCAGCTTCTAGTGCAGTTGATGGAGCATATGAGGCTATTCCCATATATAATATCTGAAAATATATAGATGATATTGAATGAGTGTAGGTTCAATATTAATGCATTGAACGAGTTGAATAAAACTAGTAATAAAATTACACGAATATCATATTATTTTATTTACATTTCCCGAATAAGAATTGTTTACGGTAAAAAGAATCAGATTTTTTTTATTGACGCGCTTAAAATGTATTGACATTCAGCGCGTCTTAACCGTTTGTTTATATAACATGTATAACGGAAAGACGTATCGTCAAAATATATGTTTAGTGTACTAAACAAAGTTACGGAGACAGTAAAAGCTCCCCCCAGCAACTTGATGAATGAACGAACGAAAGACCGACCGACCGATTGAAAGGACAAATGAATGAATGAATGGACGAACGAACGAACAAATGAATGAATGAATAGATAAATGAACGAACAAATGAATGAATGAATAAATGAATGAATGAATGAATGAATGAATGAATGAATGAATGAATGAATGAAAAACAGCTGAATGTAAAAAACAGCATACAAACAGAAGAATGAAAATAAAAATAAACAAGAGAAATTTGTGAACTTCGTCTTTGTTGCAAAATAAAAATTGAACAACAACAACAAGAAAATAATTTCGCTACAGTCGGTCTTCAAAATAATCATTTTCTTCGTAGTGATTTACAGAATAAACAATAATTGGACATTCCAAATAAATCACTTTGAATATAACTACGACGTAAATATTGACTGTCCGATATAAATTATTATCTGCCATCGAGAGTTTACATTGACATTAATTTATTGCTTTCGTACCACACTGTAACAGAATCAAACAGTCTTATCATTTTTTTTTTACATTTAACCAAACTGAAGGCTGATCTACATTTACCAAACGGTACACAACAACTTATATATCAAATACTTATCCGAGTCTACAAAACCGTGCAGTAAATGAAGGATATTGAATGAGTGTACGTTCGTTCAATACTGAATTTATTGAACGAGTTGTATAAAGTAATATTATGCGAGGCCCAGGCGAGAATAATATTACTGTATATACAACGAGTTCAATAAATTCAGTATTGGATTCACACGAATATATAATAAACTATTAACCAATACCCAAAAATGAAGAGTGTTTAAATAAAACAAGAATCATTTTCAATGACGCACATTAAGTATAACCGCATTACATAATGTTTGTATAACGTAAATGACGTCACATCAAAATATATGCACGACCGTGCAATACGGTTTTTACGAAGTTGCACGAGTATGTGATAAATTACGTTTACTTTACAATAAGCTAATTGTATTGTTTTATTTTATGTTCTGTTTATTGAACAGTATTACGGTACAGTGTGATAATCGTAATTAAAATCATGCTTATTTTTGTTTTACAAATATTGCAGGAAATATTTACTTTTAATATGCAAATATAGTATGTACTTATACAAACTATACATTGACAATATAATGCTTGTTGTTGCAGTTTTTGTTTGTTGCTGTTCTTGTTGCTATTGTTGCTGTTTGTTGATGTTTTTTGTTGTTGTTGTTGTTGTTTCAAAACTTACTCACCTGTTGAACAATCATTATAAGGGTGCCGGTGAGTTTAGCGTATTTCGAATTAAACCGCAGCTCCAAATACTGAAATAAAATAAGAACGTTTCTCTGGAAATAATAGATGACAGAATTAAACCGTTGCTCCAAATACTGAAATAAAATAAAATCAATTGTCGGGAAATAATAGATGACAGAATTAAACCGCAGCTTCAAATACTGAAATAAAATAAGAACGTTTGTCGGGAAATAATAGAAGACGGAATTAAACAGCAGCTCCAAATACTCATATAAAATAAAAACATTTGTCCGGGAATAACAGATGACAGAAGCAACAAGAAGTATCTTTAAAAAGATGCTCGGACAAGGTAACCCGAATGTCAATAAGTTCGTCCGCAACATTTTCGAGCCCGCTTCGTAACTTTTAAGCTGCTGAGAACTGTGTAAAAAACTATGTTTTAAAATTTCTTATGTTTCTTATGAAGATTGTTATTGTTAAATTATGGCCTCTATAAGATTCTGCTTTTGGCTAAAATTTATTATTATTGTTATGTTATTATTTACACATGTACAAATATTCTAAATTAGAATATTTGTAAAGTATGATTAAACCAAAATAATTCGTAATTGTGAAGATGGGTGAGAATATTTGGAGATAAAATCTTACCTCAAAGCTGCTAGTTAGTGTCAGCGGATACAGGAGGGGTACAAAAAATATTGTGGACAGAATAATTGCGAGGATCATTCCAAGGAGATAGGTAAAGTATAAAGTTCCTGCGGTGTACATTTCCGCTGGCGTTCCTAGAATCAAAATGGCCGACATAAATGACACAAGAATGCTGACAGCAACCGGAAATAGTTGCATATTCCTACCTCCCATCAGGAACTCTCCAGTGGTATTTTTCTTTTCACTGCAGAATTCTTTGACAGCATAGAATATACCGATTCCAGCTGATACAGCAAGCATAGCGGCAAATAACACCCAGTCCCATGTTTCAAAATTCCTTACTTCGTCATCAGCCATAATTGTATTCACTTATTTGTAATATTAATCTATTTACTGGTAATTGCTAGCGTCTAATTAAAGAAACAAAGAAATCCGTCTCTACGATTATTTATATATCCATCCGTATAGGGTTGAAATATTTTAAGACTGTATCCTCGAATGCACTTCGGTATAAGACACCATGTTACATATATTCGTGGTTTAAATCTTTAAGTTGTTAACCAAAGTGAGACGTATCATTAAGTTTCAACATACTTCGTATCTAACGAACGAGGGACGGCTAAAAGTTCGGGGAAGTTCGGACAAGGAGCGGAGCCGTGGCCTATAACAAAGAGCGGAGTCATGGTCTATAACAAGGAGCGAAGCCGTGGTCTATAACAAGGGGCGGAGCCGTGGTCTATTACAAGGAGCTAAGCCGTGGTCTATAACAAGAAGCGGAGCCGTGGTCTATAATAAGGAGCGAAGTCGTGGTCTATAATAAGAAGCGGAGCCGTGGTCTATAACAAGTAGCAGAGCCGTGGTCTATGACAAGGAGCAAAGCCGAGGTTTATAACAAGGAGCAAAGCCGAGGTCTATATCAAGGATTGAAGCCGTGGTCTATAAAAAGGATTGAAGCCGTGGTCTATAAGAAGGAGCAGAACCGTGGTCTATAACAAGGGACAGAGCCAGTGACGCACTGGACAAGATATCCAGGGATGGCAGTTTCGCCACCCCACAAGCCCACCAACACTAACAAATGGCCTTTCGGATGAGATCTTAAAATACGATGTTCAAGGCTTTACACAGGGCATGTTAAAAGATTCAGGCCTCATGTTCACAGAGAAAAGATCAAGTGATCCTGATTTCATCTTCATTCTTTTTTTAAAAAAAAACTAAAGTTGATCGTGTTTTGCTAGTAAATTGAATGGTACATAAAGATAATGTAAAATTTTGCTTATTTGCAATGAAACAAATGTTGGGATAAAAATCGACGAATATCGAAACAAATACAAAAATAATCGGATCAAAATAGCGATCATTTTCGGGATCAAGATCAATATTTGGATCAACAGTAAAATTCTTATATCTTTTAAAATAACACATCATTAATTCTAGAATTTCATGAACATGCCATTTCAAGTCCAATGCTATCAAGTTATCATTAAATATTTCATCTATGAGGATAAACAATGGAAAAAAATGAGTTTTTTTTCAATTTGATCCGTATCCTGATCCTTAAATTTTAGTGAACACGGGATCAAGGTCGCATTTTGAACGGGCATATGCTGAAGTTAATGTTTGCACTACATTAGAAAAAATCACGTTGTCGGAATTGTTGGCAAACAAAACAAATGTGGCAAAATGTAAACCGACTGAAAAAAAAAGAAAAAATAAAAGAAAAATAAAAAGTAACAACAACAAAATTAACAACAACAAAAATCGCACGATATTTCACCGTAGTTTTCATCACGTGATCCTAGGGTCTGTAGTTAGTGAACAATTAAAAGTTAGGGAAAGGTTGCATTTCGTCATAATTCTTTTCAATTTTATTAATTACTACGCATGAACGGTGAATTTCTCACGCGGTCCATGGAAATTTCTGATTTCAATGAACTTACCTGTTAGTGGGGCAGTTTAACTTTTCATTTTAGGCAGATTTCTATTTCTTGCTTAACATTTCTAATGTCAGTTGTTGGTAAATCACCATTATAACAGGACTCTACTGAGGGTGTTTTTGACACGATTAGACTTGGAATATTTTCCAAAGATTTGTGTATTAATTTATGAAGGTCAGGACCAATAACTAATGTAAAAATTTTCAGATCATTCCTTTGTCCAATTTCTCCAGAATAATCATTCTATTGTGCAAAAATGGCCCAAAAAAATTCAAAGCGTTGCAACGCTTTTCACTCAATTGAGTATATTTGTATACTTCTATATTTGCTCTAGCAGAGTTTGCCATTTTCAATGCTTCGTAAGATTTTCAAATTAAGGTTTTTTTTTGAGACGTCGGTTGAGTTCCTTTTAAAAGTTTTGAAATATACATGTATTGTCAATTCAGCTGAACTTTACATTGAAAAAATAAAAATAATGCTACTTTATATAACGAAAACCCTAGAACTTCCAAGACAACCCTCGTATAGACGCTGTACTTATAGCACGTATATAATTATCACAATGTAGTGTTTGCAAGTAGCGACTTTGAGTTATTTACACATAATAAATGTCGAACTTTTACGATATGTGACATCTATGTTATGATAACTGAACGTCAGCTCAAGAGGGCAATATAAAACTTAATCAAGGTTTTGTGTAAATACGACGTAGTAAAACAGACGTGTTTATTCCCACTCAGATTATCGTCGGGAATTTTTTGTTTTGTTCCATGTTTTTTAAACCTCCTGTACCTTGCTTATTAAAGGCTCACTATCCCTCAAAAACGCATTTATTTCTTTTCTTCAATTTTTTTCACGTGTCCTGTGTTAGTTTAAAAAATACTTAATGGCTAGTTAGCTATGTACATCATTTTTTCTACTCTTGCTACTTTGTTTACTTTTGCTACTTTTATGAGAGAATGGCGCTACTTTTTGTCATAGGAATCTAGCATGCTCTAAAACCATCTTTGCTGTATTAAACTCATGTTTGCTATTCCTAAAAGAAAACAATCATTCCTGCGACATAAGGTGCCGTTAAGGCAGTTAGGTGTACATCTGTGTTAATGACTTTTTTTCAAGTATTTCCAACAAAAACCAAAGCCAAAACAAATCTTTAAATTAAAAGTGTATGTAATTCAGTGATGCAAGATAATTTGATAATTATTTTAAATAAAATCCACTGAGAGCCAGAAATTTAATTTTATTTCATATATCAAATTGGGCACTTTAAAGGGACTCCACTGAGGTTTAAAAGCCTAAAAACATAACATTTGAATTTCTGACATGAATTAGCTGGGGCACTTTAAACAGAAATACATGCATAAATAGTTAAGGAATATACTTTAAAATAAATTGAAAATCGTATTTTTATGCTTTTTTTAGCCCGTTTTGATTGAAAAGCGTTTAAACGCTTTTCATTTTGGGTCATTTTTTTACAATTTGAATAATTATTCTGGAAAAACAAAGTGCGTGAATGATCTGAAACTTTGCACAACGATTAGTGGTCTAAACCTACATCAAATGGTAAATTTATCTGGAAAAAATATTTTCAGTCCCATCATGTCAAAAAACCTCAGTGGAGTACCTTTAAGCAAAAGGATATCATGCAATAAAAAAATATATTATCTACTTAGAAATGAATTGATATCGTTTTCTTGTGTTATTCCTAGCCTGATTTGAGTGAAGAGCCTTGCAATGCTTTTTGTGTTATATTTTTAAATTAAAATAATAATTCTGGAAAAAAAAAACTTAGAGAGCGAATTATTTAAAATTTTGAAATTTTGAAAGTCATTCGTTATATATCAACTGGAAAACTCGAAAATTTGTATTCAATCCTATATAAATGTCAAAAAATATTAGCGGAGTCCCTTTAACACGAACCATTATTTGAAAATACAAGTAACAGCTTTTGTCTAAATTTTGACATGTTTCACCATTGTCTCATTTTGATTTGTCCACTTCAGTTTTATAATTTTGATGAGAAATGTAAACAACAGCAACAACAACAATAACAAAAAAATTTTCTTTTGTTCTACCCCATCATTTCTATATAGGAAACGTCAATTTCTTACCCAAATACTAAAATAAATGTTGGTTAAGTCTCTTATTCTACGTCAGTTTGTACATGTATGTTCATTTTAGTATTATGGTTTAGTGCTAATATATTTTTATTCCCTCAGAATTCCAGCATTCTTTAAGTGTGGAGTACCTCTCTAGCCGTGCTAGGGGCATGAGGGATGGGTGATGGTGAAAGATGCTGCACTTTTTCCCCGCATGTACAGACTTAATCAGACCAGGTCTATTATGCTCAGGTTCATGTTATTTTGTTGTGATTAATGCTTCCGAGGGATCACACTTTTTTCAGAATTTAAATAGATGTATTTATATATTAATAAGTTGATAAGGATTGTCCTGAATTTAGATACAAAATTGACCAATTGAACAATTTTAATCTTTAAAACTGATAACTTGTGTCCAATCTAGTTGATCAAATTATTCTGACTTCAATATTTTATATTTAAATTTTATACCTGTTAGTGGGGCACTTTTTTTTACTTTTCATTTTAGGCAGATTTCTATTTCATGCTTAACATTTCCAATGTCAGTTGTTGGAAAATCACCATTATAACAGGACTCTACTGAGGGTGTTTTTGACACGATTAGACTTGGAATATTTTCCAAAGATTTGTGTATTAATTTATGAAGGTCGGAACCAATAACTAAGGTAAAAATTTTCAGATCATTCCTTTGTCCAATTTCTCCACAATAATCATTTTATCGTGCAAAAATGGCCCATAAATTAAAAGCGTTGCAACGCTTTTCACTCAATTGAGTATATTTCTATATTTGCTCTAGCAGAGTTTGCCAATTTACTTGCTTCGTAAGATTTTCAAATTTAGTGTTTTTATACCAGAGACCTCACTGGAGTTCCTTTAAAAGTTTTGAAATATACATGTATTGTCAATTCAGCTGAACTTGACGTTGAACAATTGAGAATAATGCTACTTTATATAACGAAAACCCTACAACTTCCAAGACAACCCTCGTATAGACCATATAGCTGTCCATATAGCACGTATATAATAATCACGATGTAGTGTTTGCAAGTAGCGACTTTGAGTTATTTACACATAATAAATTTCGAATATTTACGATATGTGACATCTATGTTATGATAACTGAACGTCAGCTCATGAAGGCAATATAAAACTTAGTCAAGGTTTTGTGTAAATACGACGTAGTAAAACAACCTTGTTTATTCCCACTCAGGTTATCGTCGGGAATTTTTTGTTTTGTTCCGTGTTTTTTTATTCTTCCTGTAAACAGAACGTACACCTTGCTAATTAAATGCTCATATCCCTCAAAAACGCATTTCTTTCTTTTTTTTCAAAAGCTTTTACGTGTCCTGTGTTAGTTTAAAAAAAGTACCTATTGGCTAGTTAGCTATGTACATCATCTTTTTCTACTGTTACCACTTTGTTTACTTTTGAGAATGGCGCTACTTTCTGTCATAGGAATCTAACATGCTCTAAAACCATCTTTGACGTTATAAAACTCATGTTTGCTATTTCTAAAGAAGGAAAAATATATTTCTGAGGCAT